CCACATGGAGCGAACAGTGGGGTCAGCATCAGCAGGAGGGACAGGGACAGCGCCAGAGGCAAAGTCAAAGAGAGAGATGCCATCTACCGAATCGCACTGCAAGTACAGCTGCAGGTCCTCGACCCAGACCGCAAAGTCAATGGCGCGACCCTCAGCGTCAAAGGCCAGGACACTAGGGGTGGCCATGATAGCAGTCGACAGTCTCACCAGAGAAGAAGGGTCGAGCAGCTCAGTAGGACAGCAGCACAGCAGCTCAGCAACTCCGCCAGCCCAGGAGTAGCAGCAGCCCCACAGGATCCGGCTCCCGGGACCGTAGATGGATCGGGCGGCTCGGGCGGCTCGGGCGGCTCGGGCGGCTCGGGCGACTCGGGCGGCTCCGGCGGCTCGGGCGGCTCGGGCGGCTCGGGCGGCTCGCGCGGCTCGCGCGGCTCGGGTGACGCGGGGGGGGGGGGGGGGGCTTACGGGCGGCGCGGGCGGCTGCACGGGCGGCTCGCGGGCGGGTGGGGCGGCTGCACGGGCGGCTCACGGGCGGCTGGGGCGGCTCACGGGCGGCACGGTGGGCGGCTGCACGGGCGGCTGCACGGGCAACTGCACGGGCGGTTGCACGGGCGGGTGCACGGGCGGCGCACGGGCGGCTGCACGGGTGGCGCGGCGGGCTGCAGCACGGGCAGCGGGGCCGCAATGGGGGCCGTAGCGGGGCTGCAGCGGGGCCTAAGCGGGGCCGTAGCGGGGCCGTAGCGGGGCCGACGACGGGCTGTAGCGGGGCCGTAGCAGGGTCGGCGGGGTCTAGGCGGGGCCGAGGGGGGCGACGGGGCCGTAGCGAGGTGGTAGGGGGCCGACGGGGCCGTAGCGGGGCCGTAGCGGGGCCGTCGGGGCCTAAGCGGGGCCAACGGGGCCTAAGCGGGGCCGACGCGGGGCCGTAGCGGGGCCTAAGCGGGGCCGACGGGGCCTGAGCGGGGCCGACGGGGCCTAAGCGGGGCCGACGAGGGGCCGTAGCGGGGCCTAAGCGGGGCCGACGGGGCCTAAGCGGAGCCGACGGGGCCTAAGCGGGGCCGACGCGGGGCCGTAGCGGGGCCTAAGCGGGGCCGACGGGGCCTGAGCGGGGCCGACGGGGGGCCGTAGCGGGGCCTAAGCGGGGCCGACGGGGCCTAAGCGGGGCCGACGGGGCCTAAGCGGGGCCGACGCGGGGCCGTAGCGGGGCCTAAGCGGGGCCGACAGGGCCTAAGCGGGGCCGAAGGGAAGGGCGACACGCAGGGTCGCTAAAAAAAAGAACGCGCGCCTCGGGGCGCGCTTCGGTGGGCCCTAGGAACAGTCCCTAGGAGGGGACCTGCTCTGATTCCATGAGAAGATTTGAACGAGAATGGAATGACTATGAACGAAGTGAGTACAAATAGGAAACCATAATTGGGTTGTACCCCCTATGGGATACCCCACTATAGCCTACACAAATAAGTAAGCTATAATGTTCTGACAAAGCGTGCTCGATGCGACTGATAGTGACTGGGGAAATCGGAAGGAGTTCGAGCCGACACGGCCATCTGGCGTGGAGTAACAGCTTCCCCAAGCATGGTCGCTTGCATCGACGTACATGACGATGTCGTACACATTTGGGTTGTGGAAGCAGGAACCATTGAAAACGTCGAACTGTGTCTGCCAGAATCGTAACTCGTCGATCGACTCCGACGTCAAATGGATGGAGTCTCCCCAGGATTGACACGCACTGATTTGAGAGATCAGGTTATGTGAGAATGCACGGGCTATGGTACCAAGCGCCATAGCCATGGAAGCTAGCATGCCTGTCACCCTAGCTGCGCGTCAAACCGGGATGCGACGCCCTTGTGTGCTGATCTGACAAATTTGCTCGAGCTCGTCGAACAACCGATCTCGACGGGTAACGTCGACGGAGAAGGATGTTGTACTAGTATCCAATATGAGGCCAAGGAATTTAAGCCGTTGCGACGGCTCGAGCTGTGATTTGTCCGTGTTGACGATAAAACCTGCGGACCCAAGGTCGTCTAGAATGATGGTGCGGGTCCGGAACGCTTCGTTTCGCGTAGCGCATATGAACAAAAGGTCGTCAACGTAAGGAATTAATCGGATCCCTCTACTGCGCCAGCGCTTTGCCAACTGCTTAATTAGCTGTGTGAACACGAAGGGCGCTGTAGCAAGCCCGAAGGGTAGTGACAGAAACTGGTATCGTTGGCCTTGCAGGGAAAATCCGAGGAACCGCCAAAATGACGGGTGAATGTCCACGTGGTGATAACCCGACCTGAGGTCGATGGTGAACGACCAATCACCTTTATGGACTAGGTCGGGGACCCTGTTGAGTCCTTCGTACCGGAATCGAGGGATGGAAAGGAATGAATTTACATGCCGTAGGTCCAGTATAAGTCGTTTCTTAGAAGGCTGAACAACCACGTTTAGTGGGCTAACATAGGTGAGCGGCTCCTCGGCCGAGACGCTGCGGGCCGCGCCTGAAGCAAGTAGGCCAGCCACTGCTTCGACCGCGAAAGCCGTGTGTTGCAACGCTCCCGAGTGGTTCGGGGCATGGTGCGGGGTAGGTTCGTGTGACCGCCACGGTAGGCGATACCCCGACACAATGACTGACAAGATGAAGCGACTCGTGCACCAGGAGTTCCACCATGTGGAGCGTTCCCGCAAGCGTCCTCGCATGTGTCGCACATCACCTTGTGCCTTGATGTGTGGCATGAAGCCAAACTCTGGAGGGGGATGGGTAAGATCACGCACGGGATTATATTAGCATGTTATATGATTATCCAGTCATATTAAACGCAACGCGTTGTGGGGAGATACCATCCTATGACCATGGCAGACGTGTAGGGCGCACATGCCCACCCATGTGTCACCAAATTGTAGAATCCACCGTCTCTTTCAATCAGTCTCTCTCTCCTATTTCTTCTCTCTGTTTGTCTCTTTCCTTTTTCTCTTTTCCCTGATTGTCTCTCTCTCTCCCCCCCCCCTCCCTTTTTTGTTTTTTTTTGGTTTTCAAGAGCGAAGTTTAGGGGCGTATTGCATAATCACGCTCTCTGTTATGATAATCTTCTTATTTGTCTGTTTGTTTGTTGTTTGTTGATTGATTTTTTTTTTTTTTTTTCATGATCTCTTTCAAAATAAACAACTCTTGACATTGATGTATATCGGGAATGTTTAGATCGAAGGGTAAGTCCAAATAGTCTTTATAATAAAGAAAACAACCAAACACAAATGTTAAACAATCTTAGAAGGTTGGTTGGCCCCTTGGCCCCGCTGCGGACAATCGGCTATTCCGTGACCGGGCTCTCGGCAATAGAAGCAACGCCCATCGCCATCCCTACGCCAGGTCCAATGGCGTTCCCCTTGGCCTCGATTACGAGGTGCAGGGCTTGGACGGGAAGTGGATGTGGGCCCGCGTGGCCTTTTTTTGCTGGCTGCCACAATCTGGGTGGCGGCCTTAACGTTTTTATCTTCAACCACCTCGCCGTACTTAATCTTTAAAGCCATGTTGGCTACTTCAAAACCGCGCTGATCCGCGGTAAATAAGAAATGAATATTTTCTTCAGCCTCGTCAATGATTTGCTGAAGGTAATCAGCGAGTTGCTCGCCACCGTGAGAAGGTAAAATCGAGAAGGCATGACGAGCGATAGCTTGAATGCGTTCAAAGCTAAAAAGTTGAGTACGAATTCCGTCGCTTTTGACGAGTGAGGAGCGTAATTGAGGACGTGCAGGAGGTATGGGGGCAAGACTAATGGTTGCTGGATTGGCCTTGAGACGAGTGGTATTACCTTCGTCGAGGTTCTCAACGTTGTCGTGGTCGTCGTCGTCGTCGCCCTCGGGATTAAGAGGAGGAGGGGGAGCGCGGGGACGGGCTGCTGCTGCTGCGGCAGCTGGACGAACAGGATCAGCTGTTGCTGCGGCTTCACCGTTGTTGCCGCGCTGAAGCGCCGCGAGAAGGCCGATCACGTGGCCAATTGCGTCGTTATTATTTGCTGCCGCTCCGGTGTTGTTTCCAGTGTAGCGCGCCGAATAATTCTCGGGTACACGGCGCCCTGTAGAAGCGCTGGATCGCGCCATAACGCGTTCGCCGCCAGTTTCAGTGAAAATTCGCCTCAGATTCTGCTGGCTGGCGGGGTCATGGCGAGCAATGATTTCAGCAATTTCGGCAATCCCATCTGCCGGATTCTGCGGATCTTGCTGCTCGCCCTGATTCGCGCGCCGATTTGAAGAATCGGGGCGGTGATCCTCGCGTGCTGGCTCCCGAATCTGACGCTCGCCACGAGCAGGATCCCACTCGCGACTTGCACGTGCAGAGTCGCGGTCGCGATCTGCACGTGCAGAATCTCGCTGATTGCGATCTGCACGTGCAGAATCGCGATGATTGCGATCTGCTTGTGCAGGACCGCGATCATTGCGGTCTTGTGCTTGGATTGCAAGACCCTGGCGCGTGGGGGCGTTTTCGCCTGGCTGAGGCGGGTCGTTGGTTGCACGTGCAGCTCGCCCCTCGACATGAAATCCGGGGGGCCCACGCTCGTTACCAGGTCCGTCGGCGACGACATTAGGTGCAGAAGGAGGAGGCTGTCTCACGCCATTCAACAGGTCCAGCGCGGTCAATGTTGCGTTTCCGCCATTTCGACGTGGCGATCTTGAGCGATCGCGGGAGGAAGATGCGCGATCCTCATCTCTTGGCGGGGAAGCACGCCTCCCGCTGCTGCGCGTAACCATTCGTGGAGCGGGGGGTCGGCCGGTTACTGCGGAAACAAAGCCAGACGCCATGGTTGAAAACCTGACGTTGATCACGTCGTTGATTAAAGTGCTCCTATGCCCAACTCTAGGCGTAGGAGGGGTTTAGGGAGTGTGCTGGAGGGAAGCAAATTGGAGATCTGAAAATGCAAATGAGACTAGGTGGCAGGTCTGAGAGACCTGCGGGTTGTCTCCTTTACAGCAAACTCCTCTTTTAGTCGAATCACAATCTTCAATTTTTTAGAAGTTTAACTTTAAAATTTTTACATATTCTTGCATGCGTGCACCTCCAGCTCCGCAAGCTTAGGCAGCCGAGTAATGGAATTTGGCAAGCTCTGCAGCTGCGTCAGTCCCATGATCTGCAACTTCTCAAGGGAAGAAAGCTTGCAGATGTCAGCTGGAATGACTGAGATTCCAACCTTGACAAGAGAGCAGGATTGCAGCTTGGATAGATTCACAAATGACTCTGGAAGCTGCGTCAGCTTGAAGCAGTCGCTAATCTCCAGCGTCTCGAGCATCTTCAGCTGCCCGATAGACTTGGGCAGCTGCTGCATTGCATTGAGTTGAACCAGCTGCAAGACACGGAGCCCTGCGAGCCCCCCAAGGGCCTCGGGCAGTGTTTTCAAACATCTGATGGAGCCAACTTTGAGCCTTTGCAGCCGCGAGAGTTGAGAGATGGAATCAGGAAGAGTGCCTAGCTCATTCATCTTCGAGACCTTCAGCTGCGTCAAAGCGGACATGCGACCGAGGGATGGACCAAAGGTCTCAACACTGAGAACCTTCATCTTGAAGCTCTCAAGGGAAGGAAGCAATGCGAGGCTGCTGCTCGTGCTGCCGGTGGTGATCATAAAGCCTTTGGCAGTACGTATGTACACCTCCTCATCCCCTAGAACCGCCCTTAGCGCACCGCACGCCCGCACTTTCAGCGATCGAAGACAGGGCAGCTCAAGAAGCGACGAAGGGAGAAACATCAGAGCGCCCATTCCAAAGATCCTGACCTCCTCGAGCGCCCTCAGCCGTTCGATTTCCTCTGGCAGGACCGTTACATTAGGGCAGTTGCCGACTTGCAGTCGGATGAGAGAATCAATGCCTGAGAAGGAAGCCGGAAGGGCGGACAGGCGTGGCAGGGTGTCGAGCGACAGCTCCTTGAGGCTCTTCAAGCACCCAAAGCCGTCTAGCAGCGCGCCTCTGAAGTGCTTCGCGTTTCGAATCGTGAGCGTTTCGAGAGACGTGAGCTCGGAGAAGGATGGAGGGAGGCGGGTGAGTGCCGTGTCCGATAGATGTACATGGCGCAAGGAGTGCATGCCCTTTCCCATCTCGACCGGCAGCCCCGTGAGGAGCGGGCAAGAGTAGACATGGAGGTCTTCGAGTGACGACAGCTGGGATAGGGCGTCCGGGAGCTGCTTCAGCTGCTTACAGTCCAGTAGTGTTAGCTCCCGGAGAGCTGTCAACTGCCCAAATGTTTCAGGCAGCTGTGTGAGCTCGTGAAGGCCTCTCAGGGTCAACTTTTCCAAAGAAACCAGCTGGCCAAACTCCTGGGGCAGAATCGTCAGATGCCAAAAATTATTCAGAGAAAGCTTTTGAAGAGTGGTAATCAGGGCGATGGAATCGGGTAAGGCTGTGAGGCTCATCATGTCCAGCACGAGTGACCGGAGCACTGACAACTGCCCGAAATCTTCGGGCAGCGCTGAAAGTTGTCCCATCTCAAGGTTGAGTTCGGTCAGCGCAGGCAGGCGGGGAAGAGACACGGGCAGAGACGTGATATCCCTGCAGCGCTGGATGGTTAGAGTCTTGAGCCGCTGCAAATGCTCCACATCCGCAACCAAGTCGCGCATTCCGCTCACTTCAACCAATACGAGGGTTTCGAGTGCCCCCAGTTGACCAAGATCGACTTGCGGCGGTAGAAGAATCTTGCAGTTTCGAAAATCCAGGTCGGCGAGAGACGAAATTGTGGTGAAACAGGCCGGCAGCTGCAACGTCGAGCAGTTTCTCAAGGAAAACCGGATCTGAGCGGTAAGCTGCCCGAAAGATTCCGGAAGTGATGCCAAGCGGCTCTGGTGAAGCTCCAGCGACGTTAAAGAAACCAGATTGCCGAAATCTGTGGGCAAAGCATCAAGATTGCAGGTGTCCAGCACAAGGGTTCTGAGAGACTGTAACGAGGTCAGTGTGTCGGGAAGACGCGTGACGCTTGCTACGAGGCGCAGGCGCTTGAGCAGCGTGAGTCGATCGATCGACGTGGGAATGGCAGCATCCGGCGAGCAATTAACATCGAGATCTTCCAGCCGGGTACACCCTTCAAACAGCACAGCGAGGCTCTTCTTAGTTACGTCTCGGCGATTATAAATACGTGACATCGATTCGACACGAAGCTGGGTCAAATGGTGACGTGTGCTAGCGAGGTGAGAGAATAAGTAATGAGAGGTGGAGGTGAGGCTGTCAGATTGAAGGGATAGCTTCTTGAGGTTAGGGAACGAGGACAGAAGTTGAACGAATCGACCCAAATCCATACGGAGGCACATGGGCAAGTGGAGCTCGTACTGCGTGCGGTACGCGACGCGAAGCCATTTCTTGCACACAAGTGCGTGCTCAAACTGCCTATCAGGTCGAACCAGAAAATAAAAGATCCGAGAAAGCAGCTCCTCCGGTAGCCGCTGGATCGGCGATCCGACAGACATTGTGAAAGGAGAACCGCGTCACCCCGCTGAGTCTGCTACCTATTCGATATTGCAAGGGAATGAGACGAGAGAAGGGAGGCACCAGCCCACTCAATAAGAAACCCTAGGGCTTGTAAGTAGCACCGCACTCAAACGCTAATTGTTCTCTCAAACCATTCCCGCCAGACTCTTCCACGTAACCATAATCCATGATTGCGAATGGACGGCGATGCAAGCCCACTAGCGAATGCTGCGAGGTTACCTGCACGCACTGGCCGTCAACGTAGGCAACCTGTTTGCGGGCATTGCTGCTCGTGAAACTTCGCTAGGCTAATCCAATCCCTTGAAAATGGCGGGAGGCGAAGCAAGGTGAACTCGTGTTCCCAGCCGTGAGACTGTTGTGTTCAGTTTTTGGATGCACACGATCAGATGTTTCCACCATTCAGGGAAACTTTCCTACACATGCATGGATGTCTTCTATCCATGTCATTCCTGCATTCGCCTCATCATCCTAGCATTTTGCATCCCGAATCTGCATCCGTCACTCTGAGCCCGTCACTACTACTCAGCGAGCGGTGACATTCGCGACCTCACTTCCTCCATCCGATATTAGGCGATTACACAGGCCGTTTCACACTCCGGCGCACCATCCTCGTGATGGGCGATGAGGCGACGCGAGGAAAGACGGAGATGGAGAAGATGTTATCGGGAGAGCCGTACAACTCATGGTGGGTCTCGCAACACGTCGCTTGCTTTGCTCCAAGTGTGCGCGAAATGGACCGATTGAAGGTGGCAACTTCCTCATGTGCCCTGGCACTGCAGGGACCCGCCACTAGTGGAGTTGCGACAGCTGGCGACGCAGCGAACGTCGGCGCTGAATGCGACACCTGCGGACGAGGTGGAGAAGCGACGCAAGCTGTCGTACGAGCTGCTGGGCGAGGCGGGCGAAAACCTCTTCATCACGTCGCCCTTCCTCTGCGACTATGGCTGCCATATCACAGTGGGTCAGTGACGGACGGCATGTCACCCTGTTTCGCGCATTGGCGCGCTCTCACATGCCATCATGAGTAACGCGCATCATGATGCGCGCACTCCCACCATCCTCTCGGATTCCATCAACATATCCCACCCCCGCTTTTCGTCTGATTCTTCATGCAAGGCCTCAGGTAGGCTACCCTTTCTCTCCCACCTCCCTTCATTCCCTTCCCGCTCCCTTTTCTCAATCCCTCCATCTTACCCGTGCGCCCTTCCACTGATTCCCATCCACGCACGCCCCCCACCACCGGCAGGGCGCAACGTGTACATGAACTTTGGGTGCGTGCTGCTGGACTGCAACCGCATCACCATCGGCGACGACGTCCTCTTCGGCCCCTACGTGCAGCTCTACACGGCAGCGCACCCCACGCACCCCGCCACGCGCCTCACGGGAGTCGAAACCGCACACGCCATCACCATAGGCTCCAATGTGTGGCTCGGCGGAGGGGTGATTGTGTGCCCTGGGGTTAGCATTGGGTCGCACACGACTATTGGTGCTGGAAGTGTGGTGACCAAGGATATTCCGGACTGCTGTGTGGCGGTGGGGAACCCGTGTAGGGTGATTAAGACTGTCCCTGCCCCTGAGCCCAGAGCAGAGCTACTGCCTCCGGCAAATGGGGAGGGTGGCACGGATACGGAAAAGGAATAGCAGGTTTTTTTTTTTTTCAAGGGGAAGAGGAGGGGTGGGGATGGGGAGAGGACAGTTGAAAACAAACACGATTTACTTCTGATCTGAGCCCTTGTTTATAAATGGGGCATGCATTTGACAGTGGAAGGCGCCATTCGCCTTACCAAGGTGCATCCTAAATGGCCTTCCACTGAAGCGCCACTCTAATAGTCACATGACTGATCAATTTTTGGTTTAATAACCATTTATTACGTAGATGGTGAAACTGGCAAAGGTCAGGTGTGCAAACCCGGGATATCACAACATTCGGTCTGGTCGCTATACACAACATTGTGTATAGCGAGAACCGTACGTGCACGAATCCGAGTCCGAACTGTCAAGAAAGGAAGTGATGTTGTTATTGATGTGAGTTGGGGTACAAATGACAAACCCTAACCTCTGTACCCCCTAAGACAAACCTCACTATAGGCTACAACATTTGACACACCCCCATAGCCTAAGTGAGGGGTGTCTAGCAAAACCAAAAGATACAAAGATACAAATATATTAAGCTCAGGGTGGATCACAACGTCACCACACACTCTGAGCACAAGCAACAATGGCCACAAGGCCAGTCCAAGAGTTCACAAGTGTGTATAGCAAGAGTACAAGCAAAGCAAACAGTAAACTCAAGCCTATACACGACTAGAACCTGTGTCAACAAGGCCTAACTGCACACAACACCTCTGATGGTCACAAGGCGGAAGCGCCTTGGTGAAGATGTCTGCAGTGTTGGCCTCGGACTCCACAAACTCGAAGCGAGCCTGTCCACGTCTCTTGCAACTCTCGCAGAAGGAAGTACCTGACGTGAATGTGCTTCACTCTGCTCTCCAGTCGCGGCTCACGATAGAGGAGAATCCATGCCTTGTTGTCAGTGAACAAGGTCGGTGCAGAGCTCGGCCGCTCACCAAGGTCAGCAAGCAAAAACGTTAACCAACGCAGCTCCTGTGCCGCCATGGCACCAGCATAGATCTCAGCCTCAGCTGTAGAGGTCGAGACCGAAGAGGAGCGCGTGGACCGCCAGGAAACAGCTCCAGAACCCAAGCTGAAACAGTACCAATGAGTAGACCTGTGAGTCTCAGCGTCGTCAGCGTAAGAAGAGTCACAGTGACCAGTAAGTACGACAGGCTGCTGCCCTCCAAGAACTAGCCCCACGCCTGATGTCGTCGCTAGGTACTTCGCCACCCTCACAGCTGCCGTCCAGTGAACAGGACGGTGCCTCCCTGGCGCAACAAAGCGAGCAAGGACGCTGAGAGGGAAGGCGAGGTCCGGGCGAGTACAAGTCATCAGGTACATAAGGCAGCCCACTAGCTCTGCGTAGGGACCACTGGACTCAAACGGCTCGTCAGGAAAGGGTCCAGTGAGTCTGTGGTCAACAGCAAGTGGTGTGCGCTGTACTGTGGAGTGCTGAAGCTCGAATCGCTGAAGGACCTGCTGCACCATGTGTGATTGTGAGAGTGTAATGGTGCGAGCAGCTCTGTCCCTGGTGATCTGCAGGCCAAGGTAGTGACGCAGCTCACCAAGGTCAGTGCACGTGTGTCTCTTCTGCAGTTCGGACTTCACGTCTGCCAAGGCAACCCTGTCAGCAGTGGCGAAAACCAGGTCGTCGACGTAGACTAGAACAAAGAACGGTGTGGAGCCACGACGAACGAACAACGACGGGTCGACAGACGACGGCTGAAAACCAAGGTCAGCGAGAGTAGAACGAAGGGTGTTGTGCCACTCACGAGGAGCCTGACGGAGACCGTAGACCGGTCGCCTCAGCCTCCACTGGGTCCCAAGAGGGAAAGTGCCAGTGAAGGCAGAGGGACAACGCAGCCCGACCTCCTCGTGTAGGCTACCCTGAAGAAACGCAGTGGAGAAGTCGAGAGAGTGTAGCTCGTAGTCTCCCTGTGCCGCTACGTGCAGCAACACCCGAAGAGTGATCATCTTCGGGGTGGGCGCGAAGGTCTGAAAGAAGTCGACTCCCTCGCGCTGACTAAAACCTCTAGCCACGTAGCGCGCCTTGAAGACCGGAGGAGATCCCGGTGGCCGCTTCACCCTGTAGATCCACATGCCATCGACTACGTTCGCCCCAGGGGGGGGAACCTCGTCGATGTAGGTGCCAGTGGATATGTAGGAGGCCATCTCTGCGTCCATGGCAGCTCTCCATTGAGAGGCCCAAGGCCCTGACACTGCCTCAGCGTAAGTGCGAGGAGTCGGTATGTCAAGGGCGTCGGGGTCTCCCTCAGGGGCGAGCAGCATGGCACAGAGATGAGGGGAAACGGCTGCCAGGAACTCTAGCTCAAACTGCCTGTCCTCTAGGGCGTCACAGCCAAGGGCAGACACACCCCCGACGGCCAGAGGACTGGAAGGAGGAGCAGCCACAAGACAGGTGGCGAATTCAAGGCGGCGAGTAGAGGCAAACTCAGTGACTGCGGCAGTAAGAGCGGAGACAGAGGACACAGAGGCACGAGGGTGGGTAACAAGAGAGGCGAGAACACGAGAGAGAATAGGAAGGTACATGCGGTAGTAGTCAGTGAGAGGAGTAGAAAGCGAAGCAGTGAGGGCCGACTCAGGAGGAGACGGAAGCACAGACTGAGACGGACGAGGCAGACTAGAACAAAGTAAGGCAGTACGAAGGTCAGTGAAGGGAACAGGGGATGAGGGACGAGCACGAGGGGAGCGACGAGAGGCCCAAGTCTGAGAAGGAGGAGGGGACAACGAAGACTGAGAACGAGGGAAAAACGCTGGAGAGGGGTCAGGAGGAGGAAGCGGAGGACCCGAGACGGGAGGAGAGGGGGAAGAGGAAGGAGAGCATGAGGGGAGACCGAGGGCCCGAAGACCGGAGACAGGAGGAGGAGGCAGCGGCTGCTGCTGCTGCTGCGGCGGCTGCTGCTGCTCCTCCTGCTGTTGTAGCGGCTCCAGCTCCTGCGCCTCCTGCTGCTGCGGCGGCTCCAGCTGTGGCTGCTGCAGCTGCTCCTCCTCCTGCTGCTGCTGCTCCAGCCGCTGCAACTCTCTCTCCTCTCTCTCCAACTCCAGCTGCTCCTCACGGGCACGGCAAACACGAGCCTGGTGCCGGGTCGGGTAGGGGTGGGGGGGGGGGGGAGTAGTGTCGGGGGCTGCGGCAGCCCCGGGACTGCCCTCCAAAGCACCTGGCGCACCACCCCCAGAGTCAGCACCACCAACACCAACACGACCAGGCTCACCAAGACCCGAAGAGGGTGCACCCGCACCCCCAGACGTAGCACCCCCAAGGTCAGCAGGACCAGCACCAGCTCCCGGAAGACAAGAGTCTCCTGCAACCACGGGCTCAGCTCCAACTCCAGCACCCCCAGAGCTAGCACCTGTAGGGCCCTCTCCACGAGCACCGGCTCCCACAGGATCTGCAGCAGGCTGCGAGGAGGACTGCGGGGAAGAAGGATGCACCTGAGGGGCTACCGAGGGGGGAGGGGTAGCCTGGGACACACCTAACGGGGCGGGACCAGGTGGGGAAGGCTGTACCGGGGGAGCAGGAGGGGGAGCGGAAGTCAGGAAGAGAGGGGGAGGAGGAACCAAGAGACCTCGACTGGGGTACCTGACGTAGTAGGGGGTGGACTCCTCGAAACGGACGTCATGGGAGTCAAAGAACCAGTGAGAGGGAGGGTGGTAAAAGGTGAAGTCAGAGGAGTCCTCAGGGAAACCAAGGAAGACACAGGGAACGGCGCGAGGCGAGAGCTTGTCCGCGGAAGTGTCGCAGACAAGAGCCAAGCAACCCCAGACACGAAACCTCGACGCAACACCAGGGGACCCGGTCCAAAGACTGGTCGGTGAAGCCTCTGGCCGAGAGACGCGTGGCCAGAGGTTCAGCTGGTGAGCGGCGTACCTAACCGCGTAGGGCCACAGAAATTGGGGGGCACGGACGTGAGTCAAGGAGGTGCGGGCGATCTCCATGACCAAGCCTATGCGGCGCTCAGCAACCCCATTCTACTGTGGGGACTCTGGAAGCGTCCAGGACTCACGAATGCCCACGACAGAATCCAGCGAGAATGCCGGAGAAAAACTCACCCCCACGGTCAGAGTGAAGACAACTGACACGACGACCACGAGTGACCTCAGTGGTAAGCAACCACCTGATCAGCGCAGAAGTCACCTCAGACTTCTTCGCCAGGGGGGACACTGTGGTGTAGCGGGAGTAGTCGTCAACGACCACAAAAAAGAAACGCTCGCGCTCAGGGCCAAGACGAGGGGCGGGGCCCCAGACGTCCAAGTGGAGCGTCTCAAAAGGCTCGGTGGCCGGACGAAGGGAGGAGGAGTGAGGGGTGGCGCGCAGCCAACCCTCGACGCAGGGACCGCACGGCGGTGCAAGCGAAGGCGGCAGCGACGGCAAGACACGCGGGAGGCCTAGGACAAGACGCTGACGAGACATAGCGCGCAGACGAGGGAGGGACGGGTGCCCCGTCCGGTGGTGCCACAGAACGGTGGGGTGTGCAAGCGACCGGCAGGAGAACGACGCAGCAACTGGACCAGACACGGGAACCTGACCAGACACAGCTACCTGGGGGGACGCAGTAACCTGGTGAGACGCAGAGACCAGACTGGGGGAAGTAACCAGGGCCAGGGACAGGAGTCGATGCTGCTGCTGCTGCTGCTGGTGCTGCTGCTGCTGCTGCACACCAGGGTCAGTGTGAAGTGTGTAGAGACCTGAGCCCGGCTCTGCTGTAAAGGTGGCAAGAGGCGCGTAAGTGTCTCCGTCAACACAAATCGCCGTCTCACCAGAGGGCTCAATCCACACACCCACGTGCTGACTCACAAGAGGCCTCATGCCCACCAAGTTCCTCGAAAGCGAGGGGACATGAAAGCCAGTCAGAGACCCAGAGGGAACAGCAGGGCACGGAAGAGTAGTAGTGTAGCGAGCAGTGACTGGTCCCGAGGTGGGATCAGCCAGTGCCACAGAGACTGGCGCAGGAAGTGGAGTAAGTGTCGTGTGGTCCCGGAAGAAGCAGTGTGAAGCCCCAGAGTCC